TCTGTCTCCCTTCTCATTGGCTGAGAAGTTGGAGCTCACATTCTTCCCCACCGCTTGACCTATTACAGGTTTATTTTGCACTTTTTCCCATATAAGGCACACATACACCTATTCTACGAAATTATTATCCTAAACACGCCTTTGATTAGTTGATTAAGGTACACGTTATTTCAGAGTCTTTGCTACCATCTACTTGGCAGATTTACCAGACTGGTTTCTTTGGCCTTATTGATACTCCCCTACCCTTTGGGTTTTTGTGTCGAAGGCCATGTTCCAGTTTGTTTCTCTTCCCCTAGATAACACTCTGTGAACAAGGATCCCTTGACAGACCAAGGGCATTTCTGGGGATTAATTGGCTACAATTTATTAGACTCTACTATTACTAAGGCTTCTTTGTTAGTACTATCACACTAACAGTGATACATCAATTAGCTGAAGCAAAACTTAGCTTATTTCCCACACACACAACAAACAAGGAACGTCATCACTAAACCAGACCTCCCAGCACCACATCAACCCGGCTTTTGAACACCTCCAGGGATGGGGCCTCAACCCCCTCCCTGGGCAGCCCAGTCCAAGGGCTGAGAACCCTTTCAGGGAAAAAATTGTTCCTAATATCCAGCCTGAACCTCCCCTGGCGCAACTTGAGGCCATTTCCTCTCGTCCTGTCGCCTGGGACTTGGGAGAAGAGACCGACCCCCATCTCTCTACACCCTCCTTTCAGGAGCAGCTCCAGCCGCTCTGCCCCAAACCTGTAGGGTTGCCTGGGGTTGGTGGGACCCAAAAGCAGGACCCAGAACTTTTGGCCTTAGAATCATAGAATCGTCTGGGTTGGAAGGGACCTTAAAGATCATCTAGTCCATCCATCAAGCTAACTCTGACAAAATAAGATACTGGATACACTGGGATACTGGGGACACTGGGAGGTGGCAGGGGACACTGGGGATACTGGGGACACTGGGATGGGGCAGGGGGCACTGAGAGGTGGCAGGAGACACTGGGGATACTGGGGACACTGGGATGGGGCAGGGGACAGTGGGAGGTGGCAGGAGACATCAGGGAGGTGGCAGGGGATACTAGGATGGGGCAGGGGACACCAGGGAGGTGGCAGAAGGCACTGGGGATACTGGGGACACCGGGATGGGGCAGGGGACATCAGGGAGGTGGCAGGGGACACTGGGGATACTGGGGACACTGGGATGGGGCAGGGGACACTGGGGATACTGGGGACACTGGGGACACGGGTCTGGCCCCAAAGGCGGGGGGGGGAAGGGAAAGACCCCTCAAAATTCCCCAGCAGGACCCCCAGAGGGTCCTTGACCCCCCCCCAAAGCTGAACACACCGGCGGGGGGGGGCACACGACACCCCAACACCCCCCCCACACCCACACCGGGGGGGGGACACACCCC